TCTAAATTAAAGGCACATAAAATATAAATTTTTAAATAACATTTTTTTACTATTAAAATATGCATATGTATGTACACCATTTCTAAAAGTTGTATTTAAAAAATTAGTACTAAAAAATCATATCCTAAATACATTGGACCCCGAAATTTCGTTAAAAATGTGAAAATCAAACTTTTTATTTCACTTTTTTTGCAATAAATTAATACTGAAAATATCCTCCACTCCAAGAAAAAATCATAAAAAGTTAACCCTTAACAATTGTTCGCCAGCTACGGAGGCACATAAAACTTTATCAAACACTCCAGGTAACGTTAACAACAACAACAATTAAGGCACAAAAAGCAAAAAGAGAAAAAAAAACAAAAAACTAACGGCAAGCTATAAAAATCATTTATTGAACAGCTACAACAACAGCAGCTACTTGTGCTTTCCGAGAAGGTGTGAACTGTCTGCCAGCTGCGACCGCAAAGGCAAAAGTTGCCGCAAAACACAAAATTGCCTCGAAACACACAACACACAAAACCAATACAATTCATATATGTAGCTGCTTCTGCTTCTGCTGCTTCTGCGGCAGCTCCGCCACCTTCTCGCCTAAGAGCGATTCAACTTATCTCGAGCACAAGCGTACAAGCGGCGCTACGCATTATGTTGCCGAGCTATTGCTGCTGCTGCTGCTGCTACTGCCGTGCCGGTTGGCTATTTTGGTGGTGTTTTTGTTGCAGCTGTTTTGCTTCGTTATTTATTAATTTTATTTTAATGTTATTTATATTAATTATGTATGTAGCTTAATGTATAAATACAGGCACATACATACACACACACATACAAATATTTGTAGATTCGTGCGTCCAATTCGTAGCAGTAATTGAGTGAGCGGCAAAGGGTGGCCGCAGAATAATGTAAAATATATAATATGTATGTACTACTACATGCCGCCGCACATAACTACTTGATATAAATGTATAGCATATATTTGTATAACTTCACACACATACATGTGCATACAAAAATAATGTATGTAGTTATGTATGTAGAAGAACATTGGCACAAATAAATAATTGTGGAGACACATAAAAATAAATTGCTATTGCTGTTACTGCTGTTGGTTCCTGGGACCACCAAGGAGTGCCGTGGTGGCATGGTAGTGTCGCATGCCTCGCGTTCGCGGTGCGGTGCGGTGTGTTGTCGCGGTTGTTGCCAGTATTACGCTCGTGTATGTCAATAATTTCTTTCATGTATTTATTTATTTTATTTATTTAATTTATTAATGCTACTGCCACAGTCGCTGCTGCCGTTTGAAGCAATTTCGCTATGCTATGGCGCCGCCACTTTCCCGCCTTATATTAATTTTATTACTTTATTGCTTTTGTTGCTGCGCTTCTTATTTGTACTGTAAATTTTTTTTTTTTTTGGTTTTTCGCGTCCTTTACAAGCGGCTTCCTATACAGTGTATATTTATATATGGTTATACAATTATTAATGTGAGTATTTTTTAGTTGTGTATGTGTATCGCTTTGCCTCCACTTACATTGCGCTAATAGCATATAAATATATGTATATAAATATAATACATTGCACCAAAGTTTTGGCAGTTCGTTCGTTTATCTTCTCCTTTGTTAGGCAACCAATAACTGTGGGCACGCACAGTGCGGCAAAAACAAACACTTTATATAAAAAAATGGAACTTTTATACGAAAAAAATACGATTAAATTCTTATGTTTACCAGAAAAAATTTTGTGTTGATATGAAAGCGAAACAATTTTTAAAAATTTTATTCATGTAAACATTTTATATATACATTTTTGTCTGAACTTTTATACTTTTTTGTGTATAGTATTATTAAAATTTGAACTTTTGATAAAAAAATCTTTGTAAAAAAAATTTTACTATTAAAATTTAAAATTTAATAAAAAATATTTTTACCAAATAAATTAACTTTTTTTCCATAACAAAGCGCTGGAAATTTTTTTGCTTCCCAAATTTTTAATATTTTTTTATGGCTGTTTGTACTCGATTTTCTTACTTCTTGTTCATAAATTAAGGGTTTTCTCTAATTCTCATTGTATTCTAATTTAAATATTTGGGTATTATCACTTTACAATTTGGTTGCAAATTCTCTTTAAAAGCTTTCAATTTTTCTTCATAAAATTTCAGATTTTCTGCAAAAACTTACAAATTTTCTTCAAAAAACTCAACTCCGCCCAACTTTCCAACACAAGTCAAGAAGCTTACCAAAATACTCATTCTAATATCTCTAAATAATCGCTAGATCTGCTTTCTAGCTACTTCTAACTTTTGCACGAAAGCGTTTAATTGTCGACAACATTTCTTTCCTAAATATTTCCTAAAACCTGTTTATTGTCTTGGTGTACTTCATTGTCTTTCACAAAACTTTTATCTATGTGCATCCTTTCCACTTGTCCGTCTATTACACTGTCGCCTGCCCAATCCTCGCCGTTAATACTAATTAATGTTGCCCCACTCTCACGGCATTACAACGGACCGCGTCGGAAAACCGACTTACTCATCTTAGCTGTTACGCCACATTCCTCCTTTTTTCTTAGCGTCTTTTCAGCCAAAAACGAAGACGATTCTATTATATTTATATTTCTACTTTATAAGACAGCGTATTTAATGCGGCATCATACACTTGCCGCCAGGTTGGGCTCAAGCCCTTTGTATACATACACACGTGTGTATTTCCACAGTGTCGCTGCTCAGTGGCTCCTTTGGGTGGCTGGCTGCAAGTTTGCAAAGATCGTCGCCTTTCGCAGTCTGCGAAGAAAACAAAAGCATACACGTACCGACAAAGCTGCGCACAGCTCCGACAACTATGTACCATAACCGTTATAATAATGAGGCGAGCGTATGAAAGTAAGGACATCCGGCTGTCCTTAGCATCAAGGCTGCTATGCTGTGTGTCTGAGGCTGAGTCTGAATCTCTGAGGCAGTAGCAGCCTGGGGGCGCGCCTGAGTGTGTTGTTGTTTGGTGGGTGGTGTGTTAAGGAGCTGGTTTTGGTTTGTAAGGCGCGCGTAAACACGCTTATAATATGCAACAACAACGGCATGCACGGTAGCAGCAAATGCGATGAAAAACAATGTGCACAACAATAAAAACAAAAGGAACCTGCGGAACGACAATGGCAACTGCAACAGTAACAACAATAACAATAATTATTGTACAAGTAGTACATAAAGGAGCCTGGGTGGCTGGCGGAAGCAGGCGAACAACAACGTTGGCAAACTGAAGTGTAATAAATTAATAAATTACAAATTTGTTGCGCTGCAGCGCTGGAAACTTTTTCACTGTTCACTGCTGTTCACAGCTTTTTACTGCTGCGCTGGCTTTTTCTGCGCGCATTAATTTAAGTTTTATTTATACGGTGTTGTTACAGCTCTATATAGTATAGCTATATATATTTTTTGTTTCATGCATACATACATATATTATGTTTTGTTCTGAAAATCGATTTTCGCCGTTTGCGTTGCGCATAAATAATCACTTTTTCACCAATTTCTTATAAAATTTTTTTTTTACGCCAACAAAATAATTCTGCAGACTTGTCATTCACTTGTAGTTCACTTTTTTTTTTTTTTTTTTTTTTTTTTTTTTTTTTTTTTTTTTTTTTTTTTTTTTTTGCACGAAATACTTCTATTATAAATTCACAAGTTGCTTCACAGTTTGTTATTCACAAAAACATTTTGTTTATACAAATTTTGGTTTGTTTTTTGTTTCAATTATTTTTTTAGAAATTTTGTTGCGCGCTTCACTGTTGCTAATGCTGCGGCTGTCGCCATACATCACATCGCAACGCATCGAAAATAAACAGATCGCATCCAACATTTGCTTTACTCATTCACAAAATGTGTGCGCGCGGTCGCTTTGGCCGTTCAATCAAAACAGTTGCTGTTCATCACCACAAAGCAAATCACTTCTTCACAGACTCTCGTCGGCGTTAATTCTATACAATTTCAATCAGACGAACGACACGACACAACAGTTGAATGCGAACTGAACTCGCATACGTGAATTAAACTCAATGTTTGCGGTTGAACGTGGATACACTGCAGCTTGCAGCGTAGGCAGCAGCGCTGCCCACTCCCGTGACACTCACACTGCGAGCGGGCCGCCTGCTTCGCCAATTGGGTTCGTGTGAGTGGCTCGCAGTCACTTCAGCTCAGCTGTTGTGTCGTGTGCTGGTGTGCGTGAGCGCCGGAAAGCCACTTCTTTGCATGTGTGCGCTCACGCTCTCTCTCTCCGTACGCACTGCACTGCCACCGCCTTGTGCCGCTGCGTTTGCGGGCTGCAGTTGTTGTTGTTGCTGATGATACCTCTGCTACAACTGTGGCGTTCCGCTATGGGGGTGTGTGTCTGCATCTTGTGGCGCTGACGGCGAATTCGCTGCATTCGCTCTCTGTTTCATTTCCTCCTGATTCCGTGTGTTGGCAAAACACCCCTTCTACTTTTCCGTCAGCTTTGAGATTTTTCAAAAGATGTGTACTTTTGTTTGGCTTAGGTTTTTTGTTTGCAGAGAATTGCCCAAATATTTAAGAGCGGATAAGTATTGTTGAGCGTTAGCAAGAGAACATTTGAAATGTTTTAGCATCGATGGCCATTTTTATTTGCATTTTTGGAACACTTTGATTTCAATTTATGTATCTAACATGTATTAGTTGGCCAATTTCTTCTTAAGACAATTTATGAAATTTATAACTTTCTAACCGCCTAATTTTCAAAAATTATGTTTTGTTAGATTACTGATTTAGATATAAAAAGTACAATTTACAAAATTTTTCATAAATATTCGAGAGTTTAGAAAACAGCATTAGAGTTAGTCAGAAAATGATTTTATTTACTAACTTTAAGTTATGTCTAATCCATCAAGACAGAAACAAAAGAGAGTTGAAGATATCTTAAACGTATTAACCTGCTCAAAAGTAAGATTAAAATAAATTTATTTTTGCCGCAGAAAGTAATAATAAATAATTTTAAAAATATACATATATGAACATATTTATGTACATTGTAGGTTAAAAGTTAGTTACAAAAATCAAGATCATTATCACAAAATATTTAACATTCTGCACAACACGCTCTTGTATAGGGTCTGAAAATATTGTTTTTGAAAAAAGTCTGCGTATAAAAAAAAATCTTGTCCCTCAGTTTTTGAGATATCGATCTGAAATTTTGCACACTCACACTCTTTTCGCTCAAATTTCAAATTATTAAGTCGAAAAAACTAATAACTCTGCAATATGATTTATGAAATATATTTTGTAGTGTGCTTATCTTTCAACAATATTCAGAATATTCAATTAAACTATTAGCTTATTTACAAGATATTTTATATACATACATACATTCTGAAGCGGACCACGTAACATGATCGACTTTGAAAAACCGTTATTTCCTTGGTCCTAATGATCAATAAATTTATAATTCATTAAATTGCTTGTCTTACATTTATCACCCCAACTTTCTAATTCAAAAACGTTTTTTACCACAAACAGCCGATTCTAAAATTTGTTTTTGAATCGAAAATAGGATCATAATTGAATTTTAAAAACAATTTTTCTAAAACTACTTTAATGCTGATATTTTAACCATTCGTCAAGTCTTCCAACAAATTCATATATATCTGCTTGCCTCATACTGTTTCTAACTAGATATAAATAATATTATTGTCAAAGCTTTCAAATTGAATTTGTTTTTACTACAAACAGCAGTTCCTTGAACATTTCCTCAGTCATGGTCAGCATTTAACAGTGATATTCCAAATTTGGCGAAATAATCTTAGAGATGGAAAAAATCTTTTTATGATTTCAATTAGTCAGAGAGTCCACATAATATTCGCGTGATGTGTTGGCCTCCCAATGGGGCACATCTGTATGCATGCAGCAAATACATACACACACATGTATGTATGTTTGCATATGACTACAAGCTACTATCTAATATTGAACAGGAGTAAGCTGCTTTATACTTTCATTAATAGGCAAAAACACAAATATGAACATACTGCTATGTATGTACATATGTATATGCTTACATAATTGCAGATATGTGCATAGAAGCGTGTATGAATGTCTCATAAGTCAAAATTCATTTGTATGCAAATTCTACATTGTTGTAGGCTCCACTAACTGCACCTTTCCCATACAAAGAAGCAATTACACCACGAACAACTGCATGTAAAAAGTAGTTTTTATTCATCTTCATGTATGTATATGTATCATATATGTACATATGTAGATAGCGTACATATAAAAATCAGTCAACGGGTGCAACATCACCCAGTTTGCAATGGTAGTTTTGGAAGAGCCGTTTGCGTCCAGCCACCTTGAAGACATTTCTGCAGCTACAAGAAAGAAAGAGAAGAGCAACATCAACGAGCGCTGCTGAAACGAAAAAAGTCTTTCACTTCCACTTCGTCGGCAATGGCTGTGCGGTATCGTCGACGACAACGACGGCAACTACGATGACGACGACGATAGTTTGGCCCATCGCTTGCAAAAAACTAGCATAATTGTCCTTGTTGCCGATGTGCTGCCGTCTGTTTAGCCATCTAAGTCGTTCAATGTGGGCACAGAGTTGGAGAATTGCTTGTGAAAAAGAACAACAACGCTAAGCCACGCCTCCCACATTGCGCTTGTTGTTGTTGTTGAACATATCCGGGAATGAGTGTACTTTTTATGTGTGCTCGGCCAACACGGCACCTACCAAAGCCGACCTGCTACTGTCGCATTGCCAAGCGTACAAGAAAGCCCCTCGCCCCACGCAGCACAAAAAGCAACCAAGTGTGGTATGGTGTAGCCTCGTGCTCTTACACATATCGTTGTTGTTGCTGTTGGGTACATGCTATACAATTGCTTCGCTCATTTGTTCATCGGGCACAGTCGCTCTCGCTCGTTGGCTCTTCTTAACTGCGGCGTTTTTGTTGTGCTGGGGCAATGTTGGAGCTGTGAAAAAAGAGCAAAAATCACGTTTGTATATTAACAGTATGCTGAAAAAACCGTTTCCACAAGCACCAACAACCACAAGTGACAACAACAATTTCACTGAGCATTCCCGCAAATGGAGAGAGTAAGCAACAACAAAGCAACGGCCTGACGTCACACGGTAGGCGGCGCTAAAAATGAATTTCCCGTGTTTGGTAAACGAATGTACGAATCGCACAGTCGGTGGGGAGTGTGAGCAGCCGTCGGATAGGGGAAAAGTGGTAGGCGCTGGACACGAAGGCGTTATAACGCAGCGACGTGTATGTGTGACGAGTATTGTTGATGTTTAAACTGATGGTGCTCGTGGTGCAGGGCATATAACTAGGTGGTCATAATGCTGTAATGTGTGTTTGTTGTTACTTTTATTGCTATTGTCGTTGTTGTCACCAATACCACGTGCTCGCTTGTGGGCAATCAGCAATCAACAACCACAACAACACATGCTATTAATATAATACAACAAAAACTTTAGGGCAATACAACAACAGCAACAACAGTATTGCATTAGCCAATGCCATGCACTATTGCATATTTATATAATTGTTGTTGCTAGTTTTTTGCACACACAATTGTTGTTGGCGTTGCGTAAGTTTTCATATTTAAATTCGCGTATATGCTTGATGTTGTTGTCGTTGTTATTTCCTGTTTGAATGTTGCAGCCCACTCACCGTTGATTGGCGACAAAATCCGCCCCTAAAGCGAATTTATAATTTCAATAAATTCTATATTTTATTACACAACAACTGCAGCAGAAACAACAACTATAATTTGCTGAGATTGATTGCGCGTGAGTTAGCATTGGGTGACTGATTTGTTCGGTTTTTTTACAGCAACAAAACTGCAATTTATCGCAATTAGTCAAGAAAAAGTATCTCTCCATTTTCTCATTTGCGCTTTTTCTAAGAAGTCTATAAACTATGTATGTATATATTGCTTTAAGTAAATTTGACTAAAGGTTATAATTATTTCTTGTATAAGCAATTTTAATGCAAGTGACAACTTAGAATAATCCGAACGTTTGAGCACAGTAAATCTTTGGTTTTCATTAATGATGACTCAAGCCATTAAATAAATTGTTTAAACCATATTTTTTAGAAAGTGATCGGAAACTAAAATTTTTAACTAAATTATAAATAAATAAGTGATGTCATCCCTGCACTGATCACAGTCTCTCTGTTGCTTAGAATATTAATAATTACACGATCGCATTTTTTCGAGGATTTACTTATTAGAACACGATAAAGTAATAGTATAGTAAGTAAAGATGACCGGAGATGTGGATTGATAGTGATCGATCAGTTTATATGGCAGATATGTACATATGTATATGATATAAGGGTACAATATCGACAGTTTCGACAAATGAGCCCCTCTTTGAGAAAAAAGAATGTATGTAAAATTACAGATCGATATCTGATAAACTGACAGGGGGACATTGCTGATCATTTATGTACATATGTCCGGCGTTTCATTCTGGGTGTAACTAACTTAATATGACCTATTTACGGTAATATCCACTGTTCAGAAGATAGAGGTCTTATAAAGAGCGTTTTAAGGTTATATTAAATATCGTAAGACCAAGAAACTCACAAGATCATAATTGAAACATTGAAAATGAAAGCGGCGCAAACTCCAGTAGTAATGGAGATGACGGAGTGCGAGGCCCAAACGGAAATCGACTCCGTCCCTTCGGACGTGGTAAGTGGATCGTCGATCGAGGATCTGTCTTTAGTTTCGGGTAGCTATATAGGACGGTACCGGTATTGAAGGTGGTGCTCGTGCTTCTGGTAAGGAGTCTGGAGTGTAAAAATTCTTCAGATTAATCTCTCTATCTCGGCTTCGGCCAATCTCTTGCTTCGCAGGAGACAGCTTTCAGCTTCGAAGTCGTCCACATGCTGCATGCCTCAAAACGACAACGTGGAACGACCTCCAGYTTAAGGTAAAGAGGGAGTCCTTGACCTCACCCTTGCCCCAATAGAACTGACACCAAAAACTA